TGCAGACACTAGTCTCTGGGTCTGAAACCAAAGAAGCTTGATATGAAGAATCGTCACTGTTAGGTCAACGTAACATATTAGCAAAATGTCACACACGCCTGAGTTTTTTTAAATTAACTTTAATCCTTGATTATTTCCAGAACTGCCTTTAGTATCATCTAGTTCACCAAGGTTACCGCAAATAGGACATCTAAAACTGCTACAGGGTTGTCCCAAGGTTATCCAGCAGTAAAGGAGAGAGCTGCGCTGGCATCCAAGTTCCTCGCTTTGTCTCCAAAGTGATTAATTTCATTCATTTTGGAAAATGTGCTAGATAAAACAGTACTTTAAAATGTGCAAACTTGTGATTCTAGTGTTTAAAATAATTTTGAGTTTTGAAAATTACTGTGTACCTTTTCTTTATAAGCCAAAGGGGCTGCAAAGTTTAAACATGCTCTTAGATTTTCTAAACTGTAACATTTTCAAAACAGTATAAAGTGTGATGTTTATAAAGCCTGATTTATGTGTCTTGAAATGTGTTTAATTGCCAATAAGCCTTTTTCATGATGCAGGAATTACAGTCCTTTTCCATTAAAGTCTTTAGAAATTAAAACATTTACTTAAGGAGCAAAGGATCTCTCAGTGAGAGGTGTACCCCACACAGGGCCACCTCTTTTCATTGGGGTGGGGTGGCAGGAGTGCCCAGGTGGATTGTCTGCTTCCTGTCTACACAGGGAGACATGACCTGCCAATGTGCACACAGCTTATACCAAAACTCTCACAGGTACAGAAGCTAGTAATGGCCAAGGAAACTCATGCCAGCTACCGTTAATAACCTAGTCTTTCAATATAATAAACATGAACACAACTAAGAATTACCAGCTATTTTCAAAACTAACGCCACAAAAGAAAAACATCAAATGAAGAAAGAACAGCTGATTCATGAGAAAACAAGGTAGTTCCTATAAGAGATGAGAATTTTTAAATAATTCCCCATGGTAACCTATGAAAGATTAAAGAATATGTCCATTCATGAACTAAAACTAACATGCAAAAAGGGAATAACAGAATAAGTCAGAGTCCACGAAAATTAAGAATACAGTAACCAAAATTAAGAAAAAAACTAGTTTAGTTGGGGACAAAAAAAAAAAAAAAGAAGTGACCACAAAATGTAAAGCAATAAAACCAGGTGAAAAATACTTTTTAAAAATCTATAGGACCTGCCGAGCGGCGCATTTGTTAAGAGGGGGCTTGGGACGCCAGAGGGCCCCGGTTTGGATCCCACATATGAGGGCCAGCGACACTGCCCTCTACAGCTAAGATGCTGAACAACAGCTCAACCTGGAGCTGGGTTGCCGTGAGTCGCCGGCCATGGCGT